TGCCAATGGAGACAAGACGCTGTGGTGATTAAATGATTAAAACTAATTTAGTACTATAACATACAGGGTCCTGCAAGAAAAAGACAAGACCCGCAAATCCTTCGCCACAGAACAGCAGAATATGAACGCAATGCACAAATTCTCTCGTTAAGCATTTTCCTCCTGTAGAAAAACATAAACACTTAACATGGCGTAATGTATTAAGATAACTTGTCCTCCCATACAGCAAAACGCTTAATGTGGCATAACGGACTATGATAAAGACAATTCAGTAGCCTATATGTCTTGTTGTTGACTCAAAGTATATACAGAACAGCAATTATGAACGTGCATTATGAAATGCATTAAGTGATATTAAAAGGATCAACTCCGTACAGGCAAGCAGATGAGCCCAGAACGCGATGCGTTAAATTGCACGTTAAACATTTTCCTTTTATAGAAAATCATTATAGATAAAACACGTAATGTAGCTTAATGGACAAAGACAATGATATAAAAGAGCTGTAGACAGTTTATTCTATATGGAAAAAATGCTTAACACGAAACTGGGCTCACCTGCTTGCCTGTACGTATTAGTTATATATATTAATAATGTAGAGGAGCATATTGAGTTTGGCCTTTTTAGTCCATTATGCCACATTATGCCACGTACGTTTTGCGGTATGGGAGGAAAATACTATATACATATTCATTATATTAATAAATTGTATATTTAATTTGATATTTTAATAGCATCTTAATACATTAAGCAAAACGCGCAACAAGAGACTTTGCGCATTGCGTTCATATTCTGCTGTTCTGTGGCGACGGATTTGCAGGTCTTGTCTTTTTCTTGCAGGACCTTGTATGTTATAGTACTAAATTCGTTTTAATCACCACAGCGTCTTGTCTCCATTGGCAACACGCACGATTTGTGTCGATTGCAAGCAGTGTTGGGGGTAATGCATTACAAGTATTCCTCAAAATGAATAAAAACAGTAAAATGCAACTCAGAACGTGACGCAAACCTGCAATAATTAAATATGTTAAATAAGACAAATATCATTTATGTATTTAATCCCATTTTATTAACCAATGTCTTTGCTACTGACCTTCGATGATCCAATTTAACCATACTAATAATCAAAAATGACACATTTGTGTTTGATTTTAGTTATTGCTGAATAGTGTTGAACTTTCTTCTCCTGCGTCATATTCTTTTATTTTTTTGAGCAGCGCCCTCTACTGTACAGACGTGAATTTACATTTCCTTCAGCCTGAGGCGTATTCATTTCACTTTTCTTATGAAAGGGCTTTTATGCTTGTAAAAGAATAACTTTTTTATATTAAAAACAAACAAGATTTAAAAAGTAACTTTGTCAAATGTTGAGAGATTCAAACAAAAAGTAATAAAAAATAGAACAAAATAAAAAATAAAGCCTGCAAGTGATGTCGCTAGCCGAAGCGCAAGTGTCCGAGAATGCAAGTCTGAGAATGCAAGTGCGAGGCTGGAGCCAGACACCTTCTCAAAAATGCAGAAAGTTTCCTGTAAGGGGTAGGGTTAGGTGTAGTGCTGTACTTGGTGAAATCACGGTCACCTTGGTGTAGGGCGATAGAAAATACGGTCTGTACAGTAGAAAAAGCATTACGCCTATGGAGAGTCCCCATAAGGATAGCAAACCAGACATGTGTGTGTATATAATTTTTTTTTTAGTTATTTTTATTTATACACACACACACACGCACAGGTATTCAGTATAAAGTGCAGATTCAGTTCTCTACTGACACGTGGTAGCTTTCAAGTATAAGAAGTATACAAATTATGTAGATTTATTTTTATAATAATTAATAGCCATTCATATATTATTCATATGACTTTTTAAATGAAGGATTGTGTTCAATATAGCAAATTCATTTTCAAAACTACTATTGATATTAATTTCTTAAATTTGGATAGCATCCTCATACCACCAACCTCTTTGTTGCAAATTCACACACAGTCTGCATGAGAGCATTTTTGCAAATTTGTAGGCAATATTAGCTCAGAAAGCATAAATGGAAGTCAGAAATCCCCTAGACAAAATATGTCATCCAGGTAGCTTTGACATTATATTTCTATCATGGGACATGATAATCCTGACATGCTAAATATTATGTAAATTGGTATTCCATTTCAGATTGGATGCTGAGATGACATGTTCATATCTACATGTCAGCCAACGGCTTTATGAACTCTGCATCACACACTTCATCAAAGTGAAGCAATTCAGGCTATTCCCAAAGTTGCTCCTGCAATCACAACTGCTTTGATTGATCAGCGCTAACAATTACTGCAATGACAAACATCTCAGGTCACCTTCTAAACTTATGACAATTCAATTTGAGCCACAAATAAAAAAAGCTCCAACGAGGAGTTAAACTAGGTCTCATCTTCTCCATTAACAGTGAGAGGCTTTAATTAAGTGTTTTACAATGCACTCTCCGGACTTCATCTGGATAAGAGGTTTAATGAGGCTGTAGGATCAATAGACAGGTTAGGGGGGAGCTGTCAGATAACCTTCCTGTCTGCCTGTATGCTGATAGCTCCTCTTTGGCTAATGAAATGCTAACATAAAAACACAATTTATCAGGCAAGTATCAGTGCGGCACTACTGACTCTACAAATTATCACATACAAGCATGTATGTTACTGTTTTGAATTTTTTGGAGATGAGCAGCACAGGCATGATTGAATGATAGAATAAAACAATTCACCAGGAATCCTTCCAAAATAACATGGATTGAGGCATAAGATCTATATGTGAGCCCAGTTAAAAAAAAAACTTAGACCAGCAAAAATCGCCATGGTTGATCAATAAAGCTAATTTACTTGGTCCTAGTTTATTAATTTATAATAAATAAATAAATACATACATTTTATATATTCATACATGCCACCCCTTGTGGAAAAGGAAGTGTGTTTGATTGAATTTGAAGTGCCTTTGTAAGTGTACTTTAAATCTTAGAAGCATATTATTAAAAAACATGCAGTTAATGTAATATTAATCAAATAAAAGGCAACTTGAGTGTACTTTATGACAACACACTTCATGACGGTTTCTTAACACACTTAAGTATACATAAAAGTGTACTTTGTAGCAATGCCAAATTAAAAGCAGTTTAAATCATTTTGTTTAAATATATATTTTTTGTTCTTTAATGAAGTGTGCTTAAACAATGCTTTTTGGGAAACGCTTTTAGTGTGCTTAGTGTTTGATTTGATTGCAACTTCATCCTTACATAAATGTAATCCAAAAATATTTATATACATGACATACAGGTATCAGTAGAAATGATGTTAAAGTATAATTTAGTTTACTATAAATGTTTGTCTGTACATTTGGCAGTACACTTTAACCATATTTCAAAGTAATTTTAAAATTGCACATAAAGATGTACTTACGTCCTACTTAAGTGTGTCAAAAAAGCAATCTAAAGTCCAGCTAATTGCATTTAATATACATTTAAACATATATTTTTTTATATATAATTGCAATTAACATGAAATTAAGTGGCAAAAAAATTCCATTACATTCAGTTTGCACTTAACTACATTATTTTTGTAATACGTACTCTTTTTTTAAATTGTGCTCAAATGTGCTTATTTTCCACAAAGGATGACCTGAATACATCTCTTATATTATGAGCATGTTTTTAATTTCTTAATATTCATTTTGATCCCCCCTTATTGACCTTTGACTGTGCATATCAGATAATTTGACCTTTTTATGACAAGGCAAGGTTTGTTCAGGCTGTAAAATGTCATTTGGTGCTGATGAGATGAAAAACGAAATAATATTTATGAATAATTCATGCAATTTATGAAAATGCTTAAAAAAATTTTTTTAAATAATGGGTAACACTTTTTGTTAACTACATTTAATGCACTAACTAACATTAACTAACAATGAGCAATACATTGTTACAGTAATTATTAATCTTTGCTAACTCTAGATAATAAAAGTTTTGTCCAAAATAGCTCGTCCATTAAATAACATTAATATTAAAGGGTTACTCCACCCAAAAATGAAAATTTTGTCATTAATCAATTACCCCCATGTCGTTCCAAACCCGTAAAATCTTCGTTTGTCTTCGGAACACAATTTAAGATATTTTGGATGAAAACCGGGAGGCTTGTCACTGTCCCATTGACCGCCAAGTAAATTACACTGTCAAGGTCCAGAAAAGTATGAAAGACATCGTCAGAATAGTCCATCTGCCATCAGTGGTTCAACCGTAACATTATGAAGTGACGAGAATACTTTTTGTACGCGAAGAAAACAAAAATAACGACTTTACTCAACAATTCGTCTCCTCTGTGTCTCTCCGCATCACTCTAGCGCCATTTTGGAGAATATCCGCTGAACACAAGTAACGTACACTATTCTGTGTCAGCCACGACACAAGGATACGTTTTCTACGTGTATTTACGCTTTGATTTGAACGAATACAGCGCATCCGTGTGTCGCATCTGACACAGAAGAGCGTATGCTGCTTGCGTTCAGCGGATATTCTCCAAAATGCGGAGAGACACAGAGGAGACGAATTGTTGAATAAAGTCGTTATTTTTGTTTTCTTCGCGTACAAAAAGTATTCTCGTCGCTTCATAACGTTACAGTTGAACCACTGATGGCAGATGGACTATTCTGACGATGTCTTTCATACTTTTCTGGACCTTGAAAGTGTAATTTACTTGGCGGTCAATGGGACAGTCACAAGCCTCCCGGTTTTCATCCAAAATATCTTAAATTGTGTTCTGAAGACGAACAAAGCTTTTACGGGTTTGGAACAACATGGGTGTAAGTGATTAATGACAAAATTTTCATTTTGGGGTGGAGTATCCCTTTAAATAACAATAATAGATACAACTTTGATTTTAATAATGTATTAGTAAATGTTGGAATCAATGTTACCTAAGATTAACAAATGATTTAAAAGCATTTTTCATTATTGATGTTAACTGATGTAGCTCTGTCATAACAACTCTTTTAGCATGGTAATGTACATGACAGGGTTAATGTTTTTGGTCTTGGCAGAAGAGATCTGCTACGCTGGTGCTGCTTTGGCAGAGCAAGTACCGAGACTTACTACATCCACAGACATTCTACTGTAAGCATGTAAGAAATACCGCTGACGCATATATAACATATGAAATAACCCCCTTATATAACATACATGAAATCACCCCATAGCAGATCTAAGCAGGTGGAGCTGGGGAAGGTGGAGGGTTTCTAAAGTGTGCTGCAACTACTACAGAAAGCTCTAGCCAAGTATTTGAATGTAGATCAGCACGCCTATTGGCTGCTGATATGAAAAGAAACCAATCACCTGCGTCATGTGAATAATGATGTGATTATATCAGACTGAGTTAGAACCTATCAGTCTGCGCCATCTAGAGTTTCATGACAGAACATTGTATTCAACTAATGTTAACAAATGGAACCCTATTGTAAAGTGTAACCAAATAATGATGATGTGAACACTCATGTGTGTTCAAAATATGCTAATGCTTTTTACTTGATGGTTACACCACATGACATTTTTGCCACGTTTTTAAAACTGCATTTTGTAAAGAATTTTCTGGTTTATGCTGGTTTAGTGCTATTCTGCTTGGCTGAATGATCATCTAACAGCCAAGTTGGTTGAATAATGAGGTCGACTAGTTTATCTAAACTATTTTTAAATACAAATGTCAATATTTTAGTGAAGGATGAATTAGGAACAAAACTTCTAGCAAACGGTTGTAGCAAGCTAACAGCATGTTGTGCTTTAGCATGCTAACAGTTAACGGCACACTTCAAATCATCAGCTGTGAGCAATATTTCTATAATTAAACATATTCCACTCAGGATTCTGGTCGGCATCTGGACTCATAATTATACAGAACTTCTTTAAAAGAGACTTCTCAACTAGTCATCCCTGTAGCTCAAACAGTAAAGCATGACCCTAGCAATGCTAAGGTCAAAGGTTTGATTCCCAGGGATTGCATGAACCGACGAAACATACAGTATACCTTTAATGCAATTCTGCTTGAAGCTGCTAGCGATGCAGAAATTATACACTTGAGTAAACACTAAGCCTGTTGCAGTTGTTGGTAAGACGCCACTTTTGATGTCTTTGATGAATCTCTCAAGTCTCCAACACAAAGGCAAGGCAGGAAACGACCACTGTAGCATGAGCGTGTGATTCTGTATGTACAGTAATGTGCACGTATCCTATTGGTCCACACAGGGCTCACAAGGCTCTCAATAAGACAAGAGGACGCTTCTCAGACACAAGTCCTCGTGATGCCGCTATATCCAGAGCCCCCGCAGACCAGCGCGGAGACCTGATGACAGAGTTTCCCCCAGATCACCGGCCCTGCACTGATTCACTGTGACGTGAGCAGCCTCTCCCTTCAGCTAGCGGCTCTTTGTTTCATCTGGAGAACTTGCTTCAGTTCCTTTCCTTCGTGACCCTTCATGTGCCCTCGATGTATTTGTCAAAGTGCATCAGAGCGAGTGGGAGTCCTACAGGATCATTCACAAGAAAACAACCTGAATATACAGAGTTGAGCTTAAGTAGCCAAGAGATAAGGACAACAAAACCATCCCAGATCGTTTGAAGATTTAACACAAGCCCAGTGTCCTTAAAAGATGTACCGAATAGTCCTTAAAAGACTACGATTGTGAGAATGGTAGAAGAATGACAGATTTTGTCCTCATCATTTTATGAAATAGCTTGCAGCAGGGATTAATCTAATACTGAGGGACTGTCGAGCAGGAGGTTTCATTTCATTTGTGTGTGTGTGTGTGTTAAAATGAGTGGTGATGTCTGCACTGGAATTGTCTGCTTTTAATAGGGATGTCAGTTGATAAAAATGGTACCCAATTAATTACAGGATCATGTTAATCACAATTAATTGTTTTTTAATTGTGCAGGCTGCACTGACTTCAGACAAAAACATTAAGGTGGTACTTAATGTTGAATGAACTTGTGGGCTAGAATATTAATATATACCTACTTAAAGTTTTATTTTCTTATAAAATTAACTAAATTAATATATTAAATATTATAATACCATTAAAAATGTGGGGTAAGACTTTTTATGTTTTTAAAAGAAGCCTCTTATGCTCACCAAGGCTGCATTTATTTCTTTAAAAATGCAGTAAAACAGTAATATTGTGAAATATTACTACAATTTACAATTACTGTGTTCTATTTAAATAAATACAATTCCTCTGATGGTAAAGCTGAATTTTCAGCATCATTACTCCAGTCTTCATTGTCACATGATTCTTCTGACATGCTGATTTGCTGCTCAAGAAACATTTTCTTAATATTATCAATGTTGAAAGCAGTTGTGCTGTTTTCAGCACTGTCAGAATTTTTTTCAAAAGAACAGAATTTATTTCAAATAGAATCTTCTGTGCCATTATTCAGTTTTGATTCATTTAATGTGGCCTTGCTGCCTCCAAATATTAAATTATTTTTAAAGAATCTTTTGAACAGTACTGTATGTATCAAAATGTTCTGTGAAGGTAAACTGTGGTCACTAATGTTTGTGCCTACTCTACATCATCATCCTCTCCAGACTTTTAAACTAGCTTGACAAGCAAGACTCAAAACATCAACCGCCATCAGAAAAGACCATTCTGGTCTACCATTTTTACTGGCTAAGTGAACAGAATGGCTATCCTGGTCCACAAACCAGCACTTACCAGCATGGACATTCATGCTGATCTAAGCTGGTGTTTTGAGGAAGAAAACGAACACTAAAACATCAAATAGATCTGTTTTACAAGATCACACTCAAATATAGAAGTCTCAAAAGAGTCGATGGATGGATGGATGGATGGATGGACGGACGGACAGATGGACGGACAAGACAGACAGACAGACAGACAGATAGATAGATAGATAGATAGATAGATAGATAGATAGAATTTAGCTGGTACCTGAGAGCTGACTGACTAACAACTTTTAATCATGCAGTAGTAAAGACCATGCTAATAATTCTGATTAAAACTTTTGTACTTTTGTATATTTCTGAATATGTAATTGAATATTTGAAATGTTTAACTGAATAACTGAGAAACTTCAAGCACTGTTCATTTCTGGCCATCTTTGTTCTATTGTGGTTATTTCTTTTATCGCATCAAATTTGATTCTTTTGTCCTTTTAAAATGGCTTGTTTACTTCTTTTGACTAATTAAACAATGTTTACTTATCTGAGAAATACCTGAAGGCTAAATGTCAGTATTTTTAATTTGTTATTACTAATATTAATGAAAAAGAATGTGTTCAATAGCATAATTGATTTGTCGTTGGTGTGGCACATGAGTATGCAGAACTGTGAAATCTCACTGGGATTGGTACCAGCTAATTTTAGTACGGCGACAACCTTCCTCAAATGAACACAGAGCCAAACGCAAACAGGCTTTCTGAGCTACATGGGATCAAGGCTGAATTTGGGATGCGCACTACTGTATACCACATCAATATCTGTTCTCTCACTTGGTATCTCTTGCTCTTTTCATCTCTCACTCTCTTTCAACTACGTTTTCTTTTCCTTTGTATGACCTCATAATAAACAGATACCAACATGACAGGGATTTATTGCACAAAGAGCCTCTCTGTCTTTCAAACATGCTTCTCCACTGACCAGAATTGATTCTAATGGTGGACATGGTGAATACGGTCGGCTCGATACTGGAAACACTGACACTTCTGGAAATGTTTTGAGACTGAGCTCAGAAGCGATGCTTTATACTAAAAATCTGAGGGGCAATTTAGCGTCGGCATGTGGCCGCATGATTATCTGCATCTGTCAAGAATTTAGTGCACAAGTTTTTGCAACGGTTAATATGTATCACCGCGGTCTTTTATTAGAGTCCGCTTTCTTACCCTCTTTGAAATGAAAATAAATATCCGCACCCAATCGTTTTTATCTCTGTCAGTATTCATTACTGCAAGAGGAGCAAATAGCAATGCGCCGCAGTTTTGCCATTTAACCTCACTAACTCCGCTATCCCTCGCTAAATCATTCAGGGCACAGGCGGTGATGGAATTGACTTTTCTTGGGTCTTGTACCTCATTGTAATAACAACAGTCCAAATTAAATGCAGCTAATCTATTAACACATTAAATTGGTCAGTTTGTAAGACACTCACAATTATAGCCTAGCGGAGAAGAACAAAACAAAACCAAATGTCATTTCCCAGGGCAACTCATTGCCAGCTTGAGAAGATCAATCATTGTATATTACAAAATAAATGGACTATTTTATAAAAAACAATATAAAAATAACCATAACATTTGCATCACCCTGCCATTTCACTCTGTCATTATTATTATTTGTTTTTTTTTTACCCAGACATTTAGAAGAATCTTTACGCAGCTCTGTTTTAATTAAAGTTCACAGTGACTACACAAAAACCCCAAAACAAAGAGAGAAACAGTATAAAGTAGCCCATGTAGCAAATTATTTGTGTATTTTTAATCAGTGACATCAAAGTACCAGAAAAAAGGTCTAGTATATGCAGCCTAACAGACATGTTGTTGTTTATTGTCATCAATATTAATTAAACAACAATATTGTTAAGAAAGGAATGTATATTTTTAGTAGCTTTAATCAGTCCTCTAATTTAAAGAATCATTATTTAATTTAAATAAAGTTTATTTAATCATCATGCAGTGAAGACTATACCAACAATGTTCTTTATTATTGACTTGAATAATTACTTTTATGTTAAGGTTTAATGTTTACTTAATTAGAAGTACTTGAAAGCCAATTATCACTGTTCTAAATTTAAATGGTAATATTTATATTAATATAACATTTTTAATTAAAGGAGTGTGTTCAACAGCATATTTGTCAGGGATTCATCACAGTCACTTCAGTCACGATTTGCACTTACCTGTTGTGTCTGGCCTTGCTTTGTGACAATATTATTGCGGTTTTTTTTTTTTTTTAGTATTTGAAGTCTTCTGAAGCTGTATTATAGGTAAGGAACAAGAAAGGAAAATTAAACATATGTAGTGCTATATGGGTTCGTTTTGAAATTTTTTGTTGATTTTT